GGTATTATTTGGTTTAGTTAGTACGTGCAGGCCATTTCTGTTTTCCACTTTTTGGTTGTCAAGTTAGGTCTCCTTCTAGTCCATATATGTGCAATTGAAGATTGGAAATGAAGTTAAATTTTCTCAGTTCATTAATATTCTGTTGGTTTAAAAGTCCTTATTGAACAATGTTGTGATTTTTTTAGATTGTCGTCCTATTATTTATCATATTAACCACATTTCTAAACTTAAGTTCAATTGCAAATATCCTAACCCTACTTCTGTGGCATTGGAAGAATTCTTGATAAAAATATGGAGCAGGACAGAGTTAAAACCTCATGTAAGTAAATAAAAAGCGGTATTGCAGATGTAATTTTTTCTATGTTGTATAAAAAGCAAGAATTTCTGGAACATTTATGTGTACCAGGCACAATGCCAGCTCAGATATTTACTGAGAGCCTTTTATTCACCAGGCAGTGCACTGGGAGATGAAGATATAATGGTGAACAAAAAGTCATTTTTGTTGCAGTTTATTCCTTGAGAATAAGCAGAAAGCCAAAAATTATCTTCATTGAACACACGCTAGCGTATATGTGATTTGCTTCTCTTGGTTCTTTTTTTATTTCTTGCTGATATAATTTTTACAATCCTTTTTAGATCGTTAACATAATAATTAACAATCTTAAAGAACAACTTTTAAAATATGTATCCTACTCTCATCAGCAGTTCAAAAAAGGCCAGTGGCTGAATGTGGAACAGCTCATCAATTATTCATGTGCTAGCTCAAATTAAAGTTGAAGAAAATGAAAATAAGTCCTTGAGGTCATCCCATGATACATTTAGTTCTCAATCATAAGTGCTTAATGAATCACATATATTCTTAAGATGGTTTTTTAAATTCAAGTGGGATAGACTTAACCTCATCTTTTCATCCTTGTGGACTTATTTTCATTTTTTTCAACTTCAGTTTTACAAGCTGGTAGCAAGTCATTCCAGATTGGGAAAAAAAGAGTTCAACATGATGCATTGAACACTAATGATCAAAGACTAGATGCATCATGGGATGACATCAAAGATATCATCCATGAAGAAAGCAAAAGTTATTATGAAATGAAGGAGAAAGGAAAGTCTAAATTAGATTTAAGATGAGACTCTGAAATTTGCACCAGAAGGTAGAAAGGTCAAAATTAAGGGAAGAAATGCTGAAGTAAAAGAGATGAATAGAAGATTTCAAAGTGAAGTTTAAGAAGACAAAGCATTGTAACAACATCTTCAAAGATCTAGTGGTAGAAAGCCAAAAGGTGTTTAAAAGAAGTATAGAATTAAGTATTATTTGCAAGACAGCAGTTCAGAATAGGAGTTGCACAGCAAAGTGGACTGGGGAGAGTTAAAGGGGGGAATGGGCCATTTTCATGTGGCTTGCCATGTGTCTTCCCATCTCTGCTCCCTAGATTGTTTAATCTCTTTTATGTCTCAGGAAAGATTGATCTTAGATACACATTACACTAATTCTTCCACATTGGCATAACAAAGACAATTCTTCATAGGATTTTAATTGCTAAAGTATAGGTTAGGTTTTACAACACATATTTGTAGGAGTGCCACAATTCAATCCATAACATTCTAGTCATTGTTGTTGCTAGGTGTCATTTAGTCAACTCTGACTCATAGTGACCCTACCTACAACAGATTAAAATCTTGCCCAATCATGTACCAACCTCACCATGTCTGCTGTGCTTAACCCAATGGTTGCAGTCCCCTCCCTGCACAATTTTTTTCTCATTAAACTTGTTTTAATGGGTCTCAAAATTCTGTGACAAATTTTAGGTCAAGTTTTTTCCATTTAAAAGGTACTGATTTTAAAAACTAATAACTTAAAACTGCCACACAAAAAAGAAAACAAATGGTGCACGGAACATTCCTTTCCTTCTGAAGGTTTTACGATGCATTGTTATCATTAACCAGTCTTTTACTATTAAACTTAAATGGCCAATTGAGACAAACAGTTCTGGGACCATTCTTCCACCACTGATTAAGACTGGGGTGGCAGGTGTTATGGGTAATATTCATTTAGCCTTCTCAGCTTTCTGAGCAGACTTGGTGACCTTGCCAGCTCCAGCAGCCTTCTTGTCCACTGCTTTGATGACACCCACAGCAACAGTCTGTCTCATGTCATGGACAACAAAACGACCCAGAGGAGGGTAGTCAGAGAAGCTCTCCACACACATGGGCTTGCCAGGAACCATATCCACAATGGCAGGCAGCATCACCAGACTTCAGGAATTTGGGGCCATCTTCCAGCTTCTTACCAGAACGGTGATCAATCTTCTCTTTGAGCTCAGCAAACTTGCAAGCAATGTGAGCTGTGTGACAATCCAGCACAGGTGCATAACCAGCACTGATTTGGCCAGGATGGTTTAAGATGATCACCTGAGCAGTGAAGCCAGCTGCTTCCATGGGTGGGTCATTTTTGCTGTCACCAGCCACGTTGCCACGTCGAACATCTTTCACAGAGACTTTCTTAACATTGAAGCCAACATTGTCACCAGGAAGAGCTTCACTCAAAGCTTCATGGTGCATTTCAACAGACTTTACTTCAGTGGTAACGTTGACTGGGGCAAATGTGACCACCATGCCAGGTTTGAGAACACCAGTCTCCACTCTGCCCACAGGGACAGTACCAATACCACCAATCTTGTAGACATCTTGGAGAGGCAGATGCAGGGGCTTATCAGTTGGACGAGTTGGTGGCAGGATGCAATCCAAAGCTTCAAGCAATGTAGTCCCACTGGCACTGCCATCTTTCCGGGTGACTTTCCATTCCTTGAACCAAGGCATACTAGCACTTGGCTCCAGCATGTTGTCACCATTTCAACCAGAAATTGGCACAAAGGCTACTGTGTCAGGGTTGTAGCCAATTTTCTTGATGTAGGTGCTGACTTCCTTAACGATTTCCTCATATCTTTTCTGGCTGTAGGTGGCTCGGTGGAATCCATTTTGTTAACACCAACAATCAGCTGCTTCACACCCAGTGTGTAAGCCAGAAGGGCATGCTCACGGGTCTGCCCATTCTTTGAAATAACAGCCTCAAATTCACCAACACCAGCAGCAACAATCAGGACAGCACAATCAGCCTGTGATGTTCCTGTAATCATGTTTTTGATAAAGTCTTTGTGTCTTGGGACATCAATGATGGTCACATAGTACTTGCTGGTCTCAAATTTCCACAGGGAGATATCAATGGTGATGCCACGCTCACGTTCAGCTTTCAGTTTATCCAAGACGCAGGCGTATTTGAAGGAGCCCTTTCCCATCTCCGCAGCTTCCTTCTCGAATTTCTCAATGGTTCTCTTGTTGATTCCACCACATTTGTAGATCAGATGGCCAGTTGTGGTGGACTTGCCTGAATCTACGTGTCCAATGACGACGATGTTGATATGGGTCTTCTCCTTTCCCATTTTGGCTTAGGTTTTGCGATGGTATTCACCAACACCTAAGCTGTACTCTGGCGACAAACCCATTGCAAAAAAGCTCCCTGCACATTTAAAACTCATTCACTCTATCACATTATCCTAAAGTCTTCAATTCACTCTAAGTCCAAAATCTCATTTTCTTAATCCTCTAAACCAAATGTGAGTGAGAATTTAGGTGCATTCCATCCTGGGCAAAATTATTCTTATCTGTGACCTTGTGAAATTAAAACTATAGATTATTAGTTTCTAAAGCAAAATATTGGGACAGGCACAAGGTGAACAGTTCCATTACAAACTGGAGAAATTGGAGAAAAGAAAACAGGTACCCAGCAAATCCTAAACCTAGCAAACAGTTTAAACTACTTCTTACACCTTGATGCTAATCCTCTGGGTGTTTTTGTTGTTGTTGTTGTTATTGTTTTTTGCAAGGGGTGACACCTAGACAAAAGTCTTGCCCTATAGTTGGTCACATGCTCTGGATTCTGGGGAGAAGTCTCATGACCCTGACCTGTAGTATATATTTTTCAAGAGCTGTTAATTCTGCTCCATTGGTATCCCCATTCTACCACTCCTCTTTCAGCCAATAGTGAGCCCCATTTTCCTTTTTGTGTATAGCACCTCTGCTCCCTAAGCTTTGAGCAGTGGCCCCGTTGTCCTGGCACACATCACACTCCAGAACTAAGTTAGTGAAGATCCTACCAAGAAGACTATGGCCCCACCCTTTGACAACATGGCCTCACCATTTGAAATCAAAATCCTTCCTACGGTTTTTCTGACAGTTTTGCTGATCTCCCAGCTGCTCTAGAAATGCTCCTTTTCTTTTCTTGGAGGACAACAGACATAGCTTCTTAGGCTTGTTTCTTGTCTATGGTATTCTAAGAGGCAGAGGGCATTCATTCCTTTCGCTCTTTTTCTGTCCCTTCAGTATAAGCTAATAAGTTTTCCATTGTGGTGGTGGTTAGGCGGCTCACTAATCACAGACTTAATGTCTTTAATAAAAGATTGTATAGCCATGTTCTTAGTGAATATTCTAGGAAATATATCTTTAGTTTGTATAATAGAACTGATCAGTTATGTTTTGTTTTTATTTTACATGGGTCATTTTTAATAATTTTATTTCATATTGGTTTGTATACAAAATTCATATACATTATGTTTTGCATATTCCTTCATTCACATTTTGTTTCATACAATCATTCCCATACATTGTGTTTTATAAAATTAATCACCATTGATCTATTCCCAGCATTACCCTGTCTTTTCAGGTTTCCACTGGATCTTTCCCAATTCCTTCACCCCTTCCCTCTGCCCACCACTTCCTCTCAAATTTTAATATAAGAAACAAGAAGAAACTAGGTACCCTTTTAAGGTCTTCCTTAGAAATTTCTTCAGCCAAATATGCAAGTTCATTTCTTTATAGTTCCACTTTGCATCAAACATTTGAATATAATTCAAATAAGTTATTTGCCACTGCAATAAACTCACAAACAAAACAACCCCCCAAAGCCCCACAAACCAACCACTACTTCTTGTCTATTGTTCAATCGCATGTTATCATTTTCTTTTAAAGCCTCACCTGAAGCACATTTAACATCTACAGGAACCACAGGAAGGCTCAACACTAGTTTTGAAGGCGGTTTCATTTTGGTGGGTTTCTCAGACTGGCCTCAACTGGAACTTGCCCTATTCATCTTTATTTCCATTTTCTACTCCCTAACTCTCTTTGGCAATACCACAATCATCATTCTTTCCCGCCTGGATGTTCGACTGCACACACCAATGTACTTCTTCCTTGGTCATCTCTCCTTCCTGGACCTCTGCTACACCACCAGCACTGTGCCACAGCTTCTCATCAACCTTCATGGATCTGACCGGACCATCACCTATGGAGGGTGCGTGGCCCAGTTCTTTATCTACCTTGCTCTGGGCTCCACTGAGTGCCTCCTGCTGGTAGTGATGGCTTTTGACCGTTATGCTGCTGTCTGCCGACCACTGCACTATATGACTATTATGCACCCACGCCTCTGCCAGACACTGGCTGCCATCTCCTGGATAGGAGGCTTTGTGAACTCTGTAATTCAGACAGGTCTCACGATGGCCATGCCCCTCTGTGGCAGCCATCGCCTGAACCACTTCTTCTGTGAAATGCTTGTGGTCCTGAAGCTGGCTTGTGAGGACACTCAGGGGACAGAGGTGAAGATGTTTGTAGCCCGAGTTATCATCTTGGTGGTTCCTGCAGCACTCATTCTAGGCTCTTATGTACGCATTGTTCAGGCAGTGCTAAAGGTTAACTCAATTGCTGGACGCAGAAAGGCTTTTGGGACTTGTGGATCCCACCTCCTAGTAGTTTCCCTGTTTTATGGCACGGCCATCTACACATACCTCCAACCCACACATATTTATTCTCAAAGTAAGGGAAAATTCGTTGCTCTTTTTTATACTGTAGTTACCCCTATGCTCAATCCTTTGATATATACTTTAAGGAATAAAGATGTAAAAGGGGCTGTGAGGAAGCTACTATGGAAAGGCAGAGACTTGAGCTAAGAGTATTTAAGGAGGACAATACAACTACCAGTAATAACTCTCAGATCATGGAGCCCATCCTGCTCCTATGAGGGCAATTGGTCGTCAGTAGAAAATAGCCCTTAGTAGCCCTCAGAATTTTAGCACCTTACCTTCTGTTATGGATAGAATTATGTCTTCTTAATATTTGTGTATGTTATGATGTAATGTGGAAGTTTTGTAATGATATCTCATGATCTTATAAACCAAACAGTTATAAGTGGATGATAGGAGAAACAGAACACTGTTATTCCCATTACAGCCCTGAAATCTGGAATGTGACCTTACATTGTCACCTTTCGTATTATAGAGAAAAAAAGAGAGAGATATAGAAACAGAATAGGGAGACATAGGGTCACAACAACAGAAGAACTAGGAGGGGAACATATCTTTTGATGAGAAATTTCTTACCACAGGGGAAAGATAAGATGAGCAGAGATCTCCGCGGATGGCTGGGCTTACAGATGCTGATGGAAAGAAGACCTTCCTCCAGAACCAACAGATGGAAAAAACCCTTCCTCTACCTTCCTACTTGGTGAAAAGAGTATTGAACATACAATGGCCCACAAGAGGACAAACAGATCTGTCCTGGAGACTGAAACCACCTTACTGTCTAGAGGAAAGGATTTTGAAGCTCCATCTCACATACGTTTTGGGCATGTTTCCAGGAGGGACAAGTTCTTGGAAAAAGACATTATGCTACAAAGGGTGGAGGGACAGCGCAGGATAGGAAGACCCTAAATGAGATGGATTGACACAGTGACTGGAATAATATGGGCAGGTGTGTCAGAGATTGGCTCAGAATAGTACAAGATTCAGAGCTATTGTACATAGTGTTCCTATGAGTCGCAAGTGACTTGATGGCACATAACAACAACAACAATAACAACCCTTCCTACATTGTGAGAGAATAAAATTATGTTGTTAAAGTTATCCACACAGCAGTATCTCTGTTATAGCAGTGCTAGATAACCAAGACATTTTCTCTATTTTAGCACTGAATGTGGGAGATCTCTTGGAACTCTAGTTCAATTTTGTCTTAGTTATCTAGTGCTGGTATAACAGAAATACAAGTGGATGATTTTACTAAAAAGAAGTTTATTCTTTAATAGTTTAGAAGCCTAAATTCAGGATGCTTATTCTATTAAAAGAGCATCTATGTTTGTTGGTCTTTAAATAAGGTGGGTCCAGCATTGCTTGGAGATCTTTATATTTCTTGGTCCTCCTCTATGTCAAGAAATTTCTCAGAACAAGGATCTGAGTCTAAAGGACATGCTGTGCTCTTAGCCTCCTTTCTTGGTCTTACTGAAGTGCCTTCTGGACTCACTTTTTCTCTCTTTTTAGATAAAAAAACCCCAAAAGCTTTGTTAGCCACACTGCAGGCAAACACCCCTTTTCTTATGTCAGCCTTGTAAATTAATGAGGGATTGTACATCTTTTCTATTCTCTTATAGCTGCTTGGTTGATCTCATATCACATTATGAGAAATGACTACATCATAACACAACTGGTAATGCATTATAATGTATCAATATCATCTCACTCATCCACTCACTCATTTGATTCTGATTCATAGTGACTTTTCATCAGATTTCCAAGACTATAAATCTTAACAGGAGGAGACTGCTCATTTTTCTACCTTCAAGTGACAGGTAGATTTAAATTACAGTCTGTGTGGCTTCCCACTCCCAATATATTATAAACTGAATGTCACATATTTAAGCAGAAATGAACATATTAAAATGTGCATCATGAAGTTAGTTCTTAAAAAATGTTAAAACTTTATGTTCAAATATTCAGTATTCTTATTCATTTATTTTACTGGTATACATATAAAGTTCATAAAATTTGTGTACATTGTTTTTCACACCAGAAGAATGTGACGTCCTACAAAGTACACCCTCAGAGCTCCTTTATTAACATCATTATTGTTGTTGTTGTTGTTGTGTACCCTCGAGTCAGAACTGACCCATAGCTGACCAGCCAGGAGGTTTTCAGAGGCAATTAGTCAGATGGGAGGAGACTGACCATTCTAATTCCCGTAGAGCAGGTCGTGTGTCCAAACCACATGCCTCTAGGATTACAGCCCAGCTTCTTACCACCAGGCCACCTGAGGATTTACAACACATAAGTAATTGCATTATACTGAAAAGCATGACTTAGCCAAGATGACACATTATTTTTAGGGAACACAATTGAATCCATGACAAATGTCTATGATAATTTCGCATAAGTATTAGTACTTACCACAATTTTGCAAAGAAATAAAGTTGAGAAAGGAGTATAGTGGCCACTTTTGGATAAGGAGCTTTATTCTAGGCAAAATTGAGAGTGAAAGAACACTTAATTCAAAATGAGAGCTCCTTTTTCTAAAGTCAGTGATTCCAAGCATGGTGCCCTGTGAATGATCCCAAGAGATCATTTAGGAAAATGTTTAAGAGATCACTCTTACTCCTCTACAAACTACCTGAGAGCCTGATTATGTACCCTTGCACCTCAGGGCCCACTTTTAAAATTTTTTCTTTTTTTCTTTTTATGTGTGTACTGTCAAGTTGGATCTGACTGGTACAGGAGGAGATTGTTCCTCCTTCTTCAGCAGAGCATCTATCTGGTGGATTCAAACCACATACCTCTGGGATTGCAGTGCAGATTCTTGCCACTAGGGAACACATTTTTTTAAAAGCTTTTAATTTTATATTGATTTGTTTACAAAGTTCATATACATTGCATTTCACACTATCATTCATTCACATTGTGTTTCATACAATCATTCCCTTTCATTATGTTTTTGTTTTGTTTTTATTGGTTTGCTTACAAAGTTCATATATATTGTGTTTTGCACTATTCTTCATTCACATTGTGTTTCATACAATCATTCTTATGCATTATGTTTTATAAAATTAATCACCATTGAAATATACCCACCATTATCCTGTCTTTCCAGATCCCTGCTGGATATAGGCTTTTGTAAGGTCTCTTACAAAACCATATCATGGCATTTGAAGCAAATAAAGAGATCATGAATAGAGGTACTTACATAGAGAAAGTAGTGTCTGAGAATGGATATCATTTACCTACTTGAAGAAAAATACACAATTATAATCACTTAATCAAGGAAAGTATCAATATTTCTTCAGCTCCACTAGAAGTTTCATAAAGCTAACTACTATTATGGTCAACATATTTTACATACAAGAGTGAAGGGAATAGAGAAGAAATTATCATAAAAATAACAAACCAAGATGTGGCGTAGGAAAGATGAAAGAACAGAAGAAAGTGTCAGAGATGAAAAAAGTTCTTATTGTAGAAAATGATGAGAGATTCAACATGGAGTGGCTGGTGGATTCAAGTTAAGCTTCTGGTTGTCAGCCACACTTCCTATAGACTATGGACTTTATTATGTATGTATGTATGTATGTATGTATATATGTACGTATGTATGTATGTATGTATGTATGTATGTATGTATGTATGTATTCATTCATTCAGACCAAAGTATAAAGGCAGTTCTGTCATGTCAAAATGTGAGTACCCTTATTAAAACCCTCTTACAGTCTCATTAACTTTTATGTTGTGTTAATATTTTATTCCAATAACAACAACTGAAGTGGCGTAGTGGTAAGAAGCTGCACTGCCATGTAGAAGACAGTGCTTTGAAGTCACCAGCTGCTTTACTGGAGAAGGATAGGCAATTTCCTCCTGTGCTATTTACTGTCTCTGAAAACCGGTTGGAGGGTCAACCACATGTTGATTCTGACTCAATGGCACGCAACAACAACAACAACAACAACAACAATATGTTCTATTTAAAAACATTTTTGCATACATTTTTATTAATACAGAAATGCTGTGAAATAGTCTCTAGTTAACCAAAATCCCACTGCCTGCCATCATGAGGGCTCTGACTCCTAGTTTCCTTCCATTGGGTTTCTGAGGCAGCAGATCTTTACAAGAGGAAACTGCTCATCTTTCTGTCATGGAGTGGCTTGTGGATTCAAGCTAACTTTCTGGTTGTTAGCCCAACATGATACAGATTATGGATGTAATATAGTCTCTATTTATTTATTTTTGGAAGCAGGAGTGGTATCTACTTCCTAAATTACATGTCTCCAGAAACTCTATGAACTTTGATAAATGTCAATAGTTGCAGGAGGACTTTAAGCCTTTTGTTCATACGGTCGCAATGAGTCGTGCTCGACTCGAAGGCAATCAACAACAACAATGGTGTAATAGAAGTTCATAGGGTTTACATAACTTTTCCAAATTCACACAGTAAAGATGAGAGGAATCCGAGAGCTATGTTTCTGTAACTCTAAGTCCAATCCTTATAATCACATCCATTTGAGGGTGTATTTTTAGTAGGGAAGGATAGGAAGAAATAGGATAGGAAGAAAATTTCTTAACTAAGAAGTAAAACGAGCTAAATACATTTCAAAGTCTTAATTGAAGTTGATTCTGTTCACGGTTCTAAACATTTTTTAATTACACAAATGCTCCTTTGTCATAAGGAATATTCTTCTTCTGCAGAAAGATAATGTTTCCTCTAATAACAGTTCTTATTTATTGAACCCTGGTTGTAATTCAGAGATCTTTGAGTGGCTCGAGTGGTCGGTTTCTAAAAATTAACCTAACATTTGGTGGCTTAGGATCATCCAGTGGCTCCACTGAAGTAAAACCTGAAGCACTGCTTCCTCAAAGATTGCCATCAAGAAAAACCCTAGAGCAGTTGTACCTCCCCAGCCCATAACGTACAGAGTCACAGTGAGTCAGGATCCATAAGAGACCAATGGACTTACCATAGTTCAAGCACCATGTTAAATAACATGTTCCATTTGTATGCTTATGTTTAAAATTTATGAATAATAGATATTATTTCTATTCCCCTAATACCATTATTGTTCAAAAGACTAAAGGTTAGATAATTATTCTGAATTAATTACTTCAAATTATAAGACCATTAAGTGGAGGGCCAGGATTTGAAT